GCAAAGGGAGGGGACCCAGCACCGAACTGTGAGAGGCGTGGTGGCCTGCGGGGCCGATAGCGGGGGCGGGGAGAGGTGGCAGAAGGCCACTGAGAAGAAACATCCCGGTGCAGAGGGTGCCAGCCACACGACCCAGCAGGACTCCTACTGGAGACCAGTGAGGGGACAGGAGGTCACACGCTCGGATGGGGGAGGTCCGATGGGGGATGCCGGCGGATCAGATGTCAGAGGGTGGGGTTCTGACCAGGTCGATAGAGCTGAATTCTTGCTAAAACCGGCTATTTCAGGGACAAACACAGAAGTCCAAAGGGAAAGGCCTCGTTGAAAACTCTGGGGAATCTACTGGGGCTTTGGAAGGAGAGACTCTTTGAGTAAACTATTCAAATTTACTTTTCTTTTAAAGACAAGTTTAGGGGGCAGGGGAGATGGCTCAGTAGAACAAGCGCTTGGCAAGCGCAAGGGCCTGAGTTCAATCCCAGGTTCTGCCTAAATAAATAAATAAATAAATAAGTAACAAGTTTAGTAAAACATAGAGACAGTGAAATTCATATTTATTTATTTATTTATTTATTTTTTAGACAGGGTCTCACTATGTAGTTCAGGCTGGCCTTGAACTCACAGTGGTCCTCCTGCCTCAGCCCCTCAAGTGCTGGGATTGCAGGTGTGCACCACCACACCCAGCTGAAATCCGTCTTTGAGGGGGGGGGTGCAGTTCTGAGTCAGTTGTGTTGTCACAGACCAGATAGAGGACAGTGGCATCCTGCTGACACCTCCTGGGTGCCGCTGTGCTCAGATCCGTGTACACCCCAGGCTCCCAGCTCTCTGGTCTCTGAGGTTGCTGTAGTTATGGCTTTCTGGCAGAAACAATTGTCCAGCTCTCTGGAGGTGGGTGGGAGGATTGTAAGTTCAAACCCAGCCTGGGCAGCTTAGGGACTCTATGACAGAGCAGAATTCCATTTTATTTTATCCATAATTTTATTCAGAATTCCATTTTAATGATGTATCCTAGTTTGCCTGTCCGACATGGCCAGTGGAAGTGTTCAGATTTTTTTTTTTTTTGGTGTGGAACCAGCGATTGAACTCAGGCCCTTGCACTTACCAGACAAGTGTTTATTCTACTGAGCTATCTCCCCAGCCTCTCAGATTTATTTTTATTTTTAAATTATTTATTTATTTATTTATTTATTTGAAATCTTGTGCGTGTGTGTGTGTGTGTGTGTGTGGGCAGCTCAGCCCACCAGGAGGTGGGGCTGGCTGGCATGTGGTGCTGGGGGATTGAACCGCGGTCCCGGTGCTTTTTTTTTTTTAAGTTTGTTCTAAGTAGGTGCTTTAGACCACTGAGCCATCTCACCAGCCCTATTTCTAAATTTTATGTACTAGAGGGTCTCACTATGCAGCTTGGACTCCTAGTGATCTTCCTGGCTCAGCCTTCCCAGCGCTGGGATTGCAGGCATGCGCCACCATACCTGGGCTTGGTAGCTGACTTGGCAGGCCCAGGGCTATCGAACCCAGGGCCCTGAGCTTGCCTAGCCGGGCCCTTGGACCGCTGAGCTATCCCCAGGGCCCCAGATTTACTTTTTCATGAACTATCACCACACTGAACTGGGTAAGTGGCAGCTCTGCGTCCCTGCACTTTGGGGCCCGGCCTATCCCCAGCTGGATGGTGAAGGTGGGGACAGGGTCTTGGTTTCTAAGCCTCTGGCCCGACTCATTTATGGGTCAGGGTGGGGAGGGGAGCAGGGGACAGAATGAAGTCACTGACGACTGGTGCAGAAGCAGCACAAGGCTGGCTTGGTGCTGCAGGCCTGAAATCCGGGCACTGGGGAGGCAGAGGCAGGAGGGTCTCTGAGTGCAAGACTAGCCTGGGCTGCATGGTGAGACTCCGTGTCTAAAACACAAAAAGCAAAGTACAAAAGCAGCCATAGAAGAGGGGGAGGAAGACTGGCCCGACGACTGGGGAATGAGGGTCTGGAAAGAGGGATCAAGCCAGGAGAGCCAGCCAGAACCTGAGGCCTTAACTTCGGCTAGGAGAAGGAGGGTGTGCGCATGCGCGTGCGCGTATGCTCTGTGTGTGTGAGCTGTGTGTGGTGTGTACATGCTCTGTGTGTGTGCTCTACGTGTGTGCTCTGTAGGCTGTGTGTGCAATTTGTGTATGCTCTGTGTGTGTATGGTGTGTGTGTGTACAGTGTGTGTGTGCGCTCCGTGTGTGATGAGGGTGTGCTCTGTGTGTGTGTGTGCATGCGCGCGTGCGTGCGTGCGCGCATTCTCTCTGCCCGGGACTGGTCCCTGGAAGCCCAGGGCGACAGTGGCCGGCACTGCGGGCGCCCGGGAGCCGCAGCTGCTCTGATGACCGACAGGTGGCGGTGTCGCACCGCGCCTGGTCCCGCTGCTGCAGTCGCCGCGCCCTGGCGGGGACGACCTTAGGGATCCCCGAGTCCCCGCCCGTCTCTGATTCCCCGAGGGGGACTCGCCCACGGCCGGGAGCCGCGTCTCGCAGAACCGGCGCTCGAACCCGGCCTGCCCGCGTTCTCCCGGGAGACGCGGGGAGGATTCGGCGCGCGAGGGCCCCGGGTCGGAGCCGAGCGGAGGGCGCCGCACCCCAGGTCCAGGGCAGCGCGAGGCAGAGGGGCGGCGGGGCCGGCAGCGTGCCTTTCGGATTTCACAGGACGGTTGCACGTGTTGATAGAATTTTGAAGTGCGGCACAGCGTGCCTCTTCCAGGCGGTAAATACCTCCTGGCTCAGCGCCAGATTTGCACGAGAAATACGGCACTGTGCGTTAAATGCGGATTTCAGCTAACAGTTGGTATTTCCTTACGTTCTAAATGCCTCCGCCCCAGACTGGGACTTGAACCCAGGACTCTGTGCAGGCGAGGCAAGCACTAAGCGATGTTCCCACTCCCGTTTCAGAATTTTGAGACAGGGCCTCCCTAAATTGCCCAGGCTGACCTTGAACTTGTGATTCTCCTGCCTCAGCCTCTCAAATAGCGGGCAATACAAGTGTGCACTCCCCAGGTCCCTCAGGACATAGTTATACTAAACAATTATTTGACTGTCTGAAGTGGAACCCCGCCTTCTACAGAAAGTAGAACGATGACTTCAGGGCCCTTGAAGAGAAAGGGAAGAGGGGGCTGCCGTCTGAGAGGTATGGAGTTCCAGTTCTGTGCGCGGAATTCTAGAGGTCCGCTCCACACTGTGCCTCAGTTGTTTAAAGTGTCGCTTGGGCAAATGCAGTCAGGCGCAGGGGACCGTGGTCTGATCCCCAGCCCCACAAACCACACAACACCTGCCCTTAAGGCAGCCGGAAC